CAGACTGGAAGGACATCCAGGAGAAAGAAGAGCTGCTGAAGAGGGTGTGAGAGGCATGGAGTGAGTACAGTGGGGAATATGGGCAATTGGACTTGAAGGATGGACAGATCTGAGATGTAGAGGAGGTGCCTGAGCAGTGTGAGCTGCAGAGAGGAAGCGCGAGGGAAAGTCCATGTGCTGTAATATGCCACTCCCCCTTGGTGTTCAGTGTCTGCTTCCTGGAGGGCTGTGTGTGATCAGGAAGGTGGGGGCTGAGGGCTGTGTGTGATCAGGAAGGTGGGGGCTGAGGGCTGTGTGTGATCAGGAAGGTGGGGGCTGGGGGCTGTGTGTGATCAGGAAGGTGGGGGCTGGGGGCTGTGTGTGATCAGGAAGGTGGGGGCTGAGGGCTGTGTGTGATCAGGAAGGTGGGGGCTGAGGGCTGTGTGGTGATCAGGAAGGTGGGGGCTGAGGGCTGTGTGTGATCAGGAAGGTGGGGGCTGGGGGCTGTGTGTGATCAGGAAGGTGGGGGCTGAGGGCTGTGTGTGATCAGGAAGGTGGGGGCTGTGTGAGTTGGAGAGAGGAAGAGTGGGGGAAAAGCTGAGTTCTGTGACTGCCATCCCTCTTGGGATTTAGTATCATCTCTGGAGGTGAGTGTGTGTTGCACTGTGATCTGAGAGAGAGGAATTGCATGGGAAAAGCTAAGTTCTGTTCAATGTGTGCTTCCATATCTGTGTCCCTCTGCAGTCTGGGGGGGGGGGGGGGGGGGGGGGGGGGGGGTGCAATGTGCAGCAATCTCAGTGTGTGTTTTTTCTCTCTCTCTCATGCCCCAGTTTGGTAGATTTTTTTCCTCTCCTTTTACTGCTATCACCAAGAGTAGAAGAATCTAAAACAGGAATAAAGGCAAAATGTTAGAATTGGAGACATAATTTCTGGTGATCCTGGTGGCTACCATGGATTTCCCTTCACTTTCAGTGTTGGCTATGAAACAGAAATTAACCTGTTTCAGACCGCCCCCACGCACATATACGGCAACAGGGTGGCACGTGCAGGCTAAATCCCGTAAATGTACGTCGAGGGCGCAGGCGGGCAGGGGAGGTGCCCACGCGCTCCCCCAGCGCCGCTGTCACTGTCTCCTCACACAGAGGGAAACAGCGCAGGTATCCGGCAGGCTCGATTGCCACCAGCTACCCGACAATCTTCACTATGAGAGGAGAACGGCGAATCCGAAAATTAGCATACTTCGGATGCGCGAATCAAAATTTTTCCTAAAATGGCGGCGACATGTGCGGCGACGGAGCGGGGATGTCTGGGAAGGCGCGCTGACCCATAATGCATTCATTCATGACATGTGATCGCATTAGCCAATCAGCAGTCAGCCAGCCAGCACTGTGTAATGGTCGAGCTATAAATGGCGGCCATTTTAGAATTCTCCATTTGCCTCCAGTCATTCAAGAGAGGCAGACCTGGCTGTATTGAGGGAGAGAGTTAGGGACACAGAAACGTTACTTAGGGACACAGAAACGTTACTTAGGGACACAGAACGTTACTTAGGGCCACAGAAACTTTACTTAGGGCCACAGAAACGTTACTTAGGGCCACAGAATCGTTACTTAGGGCCACAGAAACGTTACTTAGGCCACAGAAACGTTACTTAGGGCCACAGAAACGTTACTTAGGACCACAGAAACGTTACTTAGTGCCACAGAAATGTTACTTAGGGCCACAGAATCGTTACTTAGGGCCACAGAAACGTTACTTAGGGCCACAGAAACGTTACTTAGGGCCACAGAATCGTTACTTAGGGCCACAGAAACGTTACTTAGGACACAGAATCGTTACTTAGGGCCACAGAAACGTTACATAGGGCCACATAAACGTTACTTAGGGCCACAGAATCGTTACTTAGGGACACAGAATTGTTACTCAGGGACAGACACTGAATTGTTACTCAGGGACAGACACAGAATTGTTACTCAGGGACAGACACAGAATTGTTACTGAGGGACACAGAATTGTTACTGAGGGACACAGAATTGTTACTCAGGACAGACACAGAATTGTTACTCAGGGACAGACACAGAATTGTTACTGAGGGACACAGAATTGTTACTGAGGGACACAGAATTGTTACTCAGGGACACAGAATTGTTACTCAGGGACAGACACAGAATTGTTACTGAGGGACACAGAATTGTTACTCAGGGACACAGAATTGTTACTGAGGGACACAGAATTGTTACTCAGGGACACAGAATTGTGACTCAGGGACACAGAATTGTTACTCAGGGACAGACACAGAATTGTTACTGAGGGACACAGAATTGTTACTGAGGGACACAGAATTGTTACTCAGGGACACAGAACTGTTACTCAGGGACACAGAACTGTTACTCAGGGACACAGAACTGTTACTCAGGGACAGACACAGAATTATTACTGAGGGAACACAGAATTGTTACTGAGGGACACAGAATTGTTACTCAGGGACAGACACAGAATTGTTACTGAGGGACACAGAATTGTTACTGAGGGACACAGAACTGTTACTCAGGGACACAGAACTGTTACTCAGGGACACAGAACTGTTACTCAGGGACACAGAAACTGTTACTCAGGGACAGACACAGAATTGTTACTCAGGGACAGACACAGAATTGTTACTGAGGGACACAGAATCGTTACTGAGGGACACAGAATCGTTACTGAGGGACACAGAATTGTTACTCAGGGACACAGAATTGTTACTCAGGGACATACACAGAATTGTTACTCAGGGACACAGAATTGTTACTCAGGGACAGACACAGAATTGTTACTGAGGGACACAGAATCGTTACTGAGGGACACAGAATTGTTACTCAGGGACACAGAATTGTTACTCAGGGACACAGAATTGTTACTGAGGGACAGACACAGAATTGTTACTCAGGGACACAGAATTGTTACTCAGGGACACAGAATTGTTACTGAGGGACAGACACAGAATTGTTACTCAGGGACACAGAATTGTTACTCAGGGACAGACACAGAATTGTTACTGAGGGACACAGAATTGTTACTCAGGGACAGACACAGAATTGTTACTCAGGGACAGACACAGAATTGTTACTGAGGGACACAGAATTGTTACTGAGGGACACAGAACTGTTACTCAGGGACACAGAACTGTTTACTCAGGACACAGTATAAACTGTTACTCAGGGACACAGAACTGTTACTCAGGGACAGACACATAATTGTTACTGAGGGACACAGAATTGTTACTCAGGGACACAGAATTGTTACTGAGGGACACAGAATTGTTACTCAGGGACACAGAATTGTTACTCAGGGACAGACACAGAATTGTTACTCAGGGACAGACACAGAATTGTTACTGAGGACACAGAATCGTTACTGAGGGACACAGAATCGTTACTGAGGGACACAGAATTGTTACTCAGGGACACAGAATTGTTACTCAGGGACATACACAGAATTGTTACTCAGGGACATACACAGAATTGTTACTCAGGGACAGACACAGACAGACAAGCGGTTCTAAAGGCAAGTTTTTATTTTAATGCATTCTATGCATTAGGATAAAGCACCTTCTGTGTGCAGCAGGTCCTCATTAACTGAGACAGCAGTGGGGCACCATTAGCTCCCATTGCATTCAAAGTCAGTGAGCCAATGAGGAGAGAGAGGAGGTGGGGCCAAACCGCAGCTCTGTGTCTAAATAGACACACACAGCCTTGGCACAATTGCCCCATACAGCTGCTTGCTGTAGGGGCACTCAGCAGGAGTGAAGGGCCAAGAGTGCTAGCAGGGGACCCGAGAATAGGAGGGTCTGGGCTGCTCTGTGCAAAACCAACTGCATAAAAGGTGGTAAGTATAACACGTTTGTTATATTTAAACAGAAAAACACACAAGGACTTTAATATCACTTTAAATTAGATAGCTATATACACACGCAAAAAAGGGTATAATACATCTGGATGCACAAAATAGTTGTAATGATACAGTTCTACTAACACGTCTAAGTTGCAAAATTGTGTTCAGGCATTAACATTTGTTTTACCCTCCCTCACTAAGGGATTACATTTTATAAACTGCCATGCCCACCACTGTACTAGTGATATAATAAATATTAATCTGTATTTCTAAGGAACACACAAAGCAAATCCCCCCACAACTGCCAAGGTGCAACTATGATAACTTACGAAGCAGGTGATGTAGAATGTACTGGGGGTCATCACCAAGTAGAACAGGGGGAGGCCTCGGAGCACAAGGGTGTGCATTGCTGTCACATCAGGTTTCTAGAAGTAAATTATCAAAAGTTTCAGTTTAATATTGCATAAAATGTAAACCTATATGTTTATGAAGCAAATATCACACTATTTGACAGTTCAGGAAAGTTACTGATTGAAGTTATTTAAATTACACCCATAGATTCGATGTTTTAACATTATTGGATCACAAACTTCTCAAGACCACTTTAAAATATTGAAATCAATACAGGTAGCAACATAGGCCAAAAGGGATAGTAGTAGAGGTTACAGGTTGTACATTTATGGTATCTTACATATTTCTGTATATTGCAACTAGAGATGAGCGAAGTATTCAAAAGTTCGATTCGGCGAATTCCAGTAAGAAATTTGATTTGATGCGAGAAATTTTTTCGCTACGAAGATGACTTATAAAAGGGTTTCTAGGCTTCAGAGAGCCTTTAAATTAGTGCAGAACACTGTACCTTTAATTTAAATGCCCTTGGAGATGAGGAAGGAGAAGGAGAAGGAGAAGGATGAGGAGAAGGATGAGAAGAAGGAGAAGGATGAGAAGAAGGAGAAGGATGAGAAGAAGGAGAAGGAGAAGGATGAGAAGAAGGAGAAGGAGAAGGATGAGAAGAAGGAGAAGGATGAGAAGAAGGAGAAGGAGAAAGAAGGATGAGAAGAAGGAGAAGGATGAGAAGAAAGAGAAGGAGAAGGATGAGAAGAAGGAGAAGGATGAGAAGAAGGAGAAGGATGAGAAGAAGAAGGATGAGAAGATGGAGAAGGATGAGAAGAAGGAGGAAGGAGAAGGAGAAGGATGAGAAGAGGAGAAGGATGAGAAGAAGGAGAAGGATGAGAAGAAGGAGAAGGATGAGAAGAAGGATGAGAAGAAGGAGAAGGAGAAGGATGAGAAGAAGGAGAAGGAGAAGGATGAGAAGAAGGAGAAGGAGAAGGATGAGAAGAAGGAGAAGGAGAAAGGATGAGAAGAAGAAGAAGGATGAGAAGAAGGACAGTTCTGTGACAGTTTCTGTCTATTTCTGACAGTTCTGGGACATTCACTCCATACAGCGGTTGAAACATTGTATCTATTTTTTTCCATAAATGACATTCTGCAAATACACTTAGAGGAGCGCTGCAGATACACTTTTTTGCCGGCTTGGAATTAATCTTATTTTCATCCTACTTCTTCTTCTTCTTCTTTCCATCCTCATACCTCTTCAGAAGAAGAGGATGTAAGGATGAAGAAGAAGAAGAAGAAGAAGCTTAAGGATGAAAATAAGAATAATTCCAAGCCGGCTAAAAAAGTGTATGTGCAGAGTTCCTCTATTTCTGACAGTTTCTTGACAGCTTCCCTTCACATGAGTACAGCGGGTTTGAAACATCTGTATCCTAGAATGCGAAACTAATAGGATACAATGATTTCAACCGCCCGACATGTAAGGAACTGTCTGAGAATGTCAGAAATAGCGGAGCTCTCTGCAGGGACACTTTTGCCAGGCTGATCGGGAAATTTTCGATTCGCGCAAACCCAAGTAGGCAAAATTCGGATTCGCCGCGAATCAAAATTTATCTGAAATCGTATCGAATTCCGTTCGCCTGGTTCGATTCCGCTCATCTCTATTTACAACAAAGTGAATCAGAAAGGTTTTGAAGTTGAGACAACCAAAAAGAGGGTTTTGCAGTAGACTCCCCTTTTTAAATTTAAATTTGCTGCAAAAAAACATGGACAATTTCTCCCCAACATTTCCCTTTTTCTTGGACTTGAAGATTTTTAAACCAAAGCTGGGTGTATCGATCCAGGGCATCAAAAAAGTTACTGAAATTTTGGTGTGCTTTTTCTATTAACTCTGCAAAAAAACCAAGAACACAAAAAAAAAACAACCCCCAAAGCCCCTTTTTTTACTGGGCCCGGCCCTCGCCGTTCCCCCTCTCAAAGTGAAGATTGTCGGGTAGCTGGTGGCAATCGAGCCGGGCCGGATACCTGCGCGGGTTCTCCCTTTTGTGTGAGGAGACATGACAGCGGCGCTGGGGGAGCCCCATGGGCACCTCCCCTGCCCCCCCGCCCCCTTTGACGTACTTTTAGGGGTTTTTGCCTGCACGTGCCACCCTTTTGCCGTAAATGTGCGTGGGGGGGGGCCCTGAAACGGGTTTAATTTCTTTTTTTCATACCAACACGGAAAGTGAAGGGAAACCCTTTGGTAGCCACCGGGAAACACCAGAAATTATGTCCCAATTTTTTTTTTAAACCATTTTGCCTTTTTTTTCCGGGTTTCAGATTCTTCTCCCTTTTTGGGTGATAGCGGGTAAAAGGAGAGGAAAAAAAATCCCCAAAAACGGGGGCATGAGAGAGAGGGGAAAAAACACACACTGGGGAAAGCTGCCCCTTGCACCCCCCCCCCCCCCCCCCAAACCGCAGAGGGACACAGATAAAAAAAGCACACAATTTAACCCGAACTTAGGGTTTTTTTCCCTGCAATTCCCTTTTCCCCAATCACAGTGCAACAACACATCACCTCCAGAGATGATACTAATCCCCCGAGGGATGGGGAGTCCCCAGAACCAGCTTTTCCCCCCCCTTTTTCCTCCCCTCAAATCAAAACGCCCCCCCCCTTCCCGATCACACACACCCTCCCCCCCCCAAACCCCTGATCACACACCCCCTCCCGGCCCCCACCCCTTTCCCGATCACAAAACACCCCCCCAGGGAAACAGACCTGAACCCCCAAGGGGGGGTGGCCAATTAATTAAAAAGCCCCATGGACTTTCCCCCCGCGCTTCCCCCTGCACTCACAATGCCTAAAGGGACCTTTCCCCCTAAAATCTCAGATTTTTGTCCCCTCCTTCAAGTCCAATTGGGCCCCTATTTTCCCCCCGGGCTCCTCCCTGCCTCTCACAAAAACCCCCTTTCCCGCTCTTCTTTCCCTGGATTGTCCCCTTTCCCTTTTGGAAAAGGGCCACTCCTCCTGCCCCGCTACTGTTGTAAGTTTGCTGGACCTCTGCTTTTCCCTTGGGGCAAAACAACTTCCTGTCACTAATAAGCCCATGTCCTATTGGGAAATAGGGGGGAGTAAAAAAGTAAGGGGGCTGGGATAGGAAAAAATAATAATTGAGGGTCCCGAGGGTGTGTATGGCATACACTTTTATTCCTGTTTACATGTAAAAAGATTATGTACAGAGTATAAAACAAAAAACAAATGTACTTTGTAATTTTTTTTTTCACACTTTACTCAGTGCTGCTTTAAAGGGGTTTATCGTAGTGTGGGGAAAGGGGTTCCCTAGACCCTCAGTACATCTGGGTTAGAGATCAGTAACCAAGGGTTTTTTTCCCCCCCATGTGCAAGAGGCCTAACCCTTTTTTCCTCCTTAAATGACCCAAAAAAAACCAGAAAGGGAGCACTGTGAATAAAAGAGCCCCGCAAGGGAAAATTTTACTATAACTGCTGCCGTTTGGGCATTTTTTAAAACATTTTTTAGCAATACTGAAACCCCTGGGAAAAAAAGTGATTGTAAAAACCAATTTAAAAAAATTTAAAAAAGGTTTTTACTTTTCCCGCTTTTGCAATTCCCCCAATTTTTCCTTTTTGGCGCTCCCTGGCTCCTCATGTTTTTAAAATGCGCTTCCATGGTGGGGAACCTTCAGGGGTCAATCCTAGCCGCTTTCTGTGGGCAATTGACAGACCCCTGGCCCGCTTTTAAATGTTTTAAAAATTTTAATCCACAGTAAAAATTTTTCCAAAATTGTTAAATACTTCTGAAAGGTTTCTTTAAGCGTTTTTGAAAGCCCCAAACCCCCCCCACCCCGTTAAACCCCCCGGTTCACCCGGGTTCATCAAAAGGGAAAATTTAACCCCCTAATTTTTTAC